GGCTTCTGGACAGACGCTCACAGTAGCTGCTGGCCGCTCACGCTGGCTGCTGGCTACACACGATAGCCCATGGCAACCCACTGCAGCAGTGGCTGCAGCCTACGCTATCCCTGGCAACCCACAGCAGCCCAGCTCCAGGTCGAGCTGCCGTTCAGCATCTTAGCTGTAGAGGGCAGTGTCACTGGCCCTCATATGTGTTATCCGAACCGGGGCCCTCTGGCGTCCCAAGCCAGTTCTTAACCAACGCACCACTTGACCAGCCCCATGCTAATTTTTTTATGTAAGTATCTGATGGGTTGGAGAAGGTTTTGGGTTATTGTTGGAGAAGGATTTGCTCTCTAAATTACTAATGTTAAAGACACTCTTTGTTAATAAATAGTAAATCTAGACATAAAAATGTCAGTAAAATTTTCTGACCTTTACTGTGAGTTAACTTTTCATAAGAGTAAAAGCTATAGTAATAAAATTAATATTTAATTTTTAGGAAGTTGAGTTTTTATTTTTTATTAAATTTTTTTTTTAAGTTGCAGAAAAGGAGTTTATCAGAAGCAGAAATACAGTTCAAAGAAGCAGAAGTGGGCCCAAGCAGTAGAGAATGGCTCAAGGGCCATTATTAGAAAAGAAAGTACACTCCAAAGAGTTTGGAGCGGGCCGAGCAAAGGAAGCAGAAAAGGCCTAAGGGTGCCCAGGGCCAGAGCCAGGGAGTCATTATCAGGAGAAAAAGTACACTCCAAAGAGTTTGGAGCAGGCCCCGAGCAGAGGCAAGGCTCAGAGTTCTCAAAGGCCTGAGTTTTTAATTAATTGACTTGAATGTTCTCTTTAATTTGTACTATGTTCAGCAGTTTGCTTCTTTTCCATGTTGCAGAATACATTTTATGGATAGCTGTATCTAAATCACAAAATAACCTAATACATATTTTTGTTTAAACTTCATTACAATATGATTGTCATTCTAAACACCAGTTTACATATAGTTTTGCCTTTTCTTCATTCTTCTGTTCACCTATTACATGGTTTTTTTTGCCATAGAGCTTTAGGAAAAACAAATTATTTTCTTAGACTTGAAATATACTTAATACTTAGTCTATGTTTATGGAAGGGCAAGTATTCACATGGATTATAAAGATGTAGTTTGGATAAAGAAATTATTTTTTGTTAATTGTCTGTCTTCCCGGCACTGTGCCAAGGGCACGCCATTTAATCTTCATAATGACCAGACAAGGAAGGTATGATTATTATTCCAGATTTATGGATAACTGAGGTAAGTGTTTCAAATTTGTGGCAAAGACTCC